TTTTTGGAAAGAAATTTGGAGAATACTCAAGGAACTAAAAGTAGACCTACCATTTGATCCTGCGATTTCTCTACTAGGTATATACCCAGATGATCAAAAATTATTTTACAACAAAGACATTTGCACCAGAATGTTTATTGCAGCCCAATTCATAATAGCCAAGACATGGAAGCAGCCCAAGAGCCCATCCACCTATGAATGGATTAACAAATTGTGGTATATGTACACCATGGAATATTATGCAGCCATAAGAAAAGATGGAGACTTCACATCTTTTATGCTTAACTGGATGGAGCTGGAACATATTCTTCTTAGTAAAGTATCTCAAGAATGGGGAAAAAAGTACCCAATGTACTCAATACTACTATGAAATCAATATATAACTAGGTACACACTCATACAAATGGCAAAACATAACTATACTCCAGAAAGTAGAAGGGAAGAAGAGAGAGAGGGGAGGGGAAGGGGGATATGGGAGGAGGGAGGGCTTTTGGGAGCACCTCACCTAATATGCATGATGCAATGGTACATTTCAAAACTATTAAGAAATGAGTATAATTGTGATGGATGTGTTACTTAGTTCAATGTAAACATTTCACATTATATATTGAAGCAGTGCCCTAAACCCCATAAATGCATCAATGTACAAAGTTATGATTTAATAAAAAATAATTTAAAAAATATTTAAAAATAAAAGGTTTTACACATCTCTGCCTTAAAAAAAAAAAAAAATAGCCAGGCATTGTGATAGGCTCCTGTAGTCCCAAGCTGCTTGGGAGTCTGAGGCAAGAGAATCGCCTAAGCGCAGGAGATGGAGGTTACAGTAAGCTGTGATGCCACAGCACTCTAACTAAGAGCGCTAAAGTGAGACTCTGTCTCTATGAAAGAAAGAAGGGAAAGAAAGAAAGAAAGAAAGAAAGAATGTAAGTTAGTTGATGCCTCCTTTGAGCTGAAGCTGCAAGGACAAATAAATAATATGAAAGAAAAAAATAAAAATGCCAACGCCTAGGCCATACTCAGGCCAATTAAATTAGATGGTGTGGAGAGGGTCCCAAGTGTCAGTATTATTTGGAGCTTTTGGGCACACCCTGCTCTATTGCACCTCATTGCTGCTGGCCAATTCTAATGGTCTGGGCCTGCGGTGGTGGCCACCACTGCCTCTGTGGCAGCCCTCTCTTTTCCTCAACTTCCTCCCCCATTGCCTCCACAGTCATCACTGTAGCCCACAGGACAGCTAAGATGGAAACCCAAAGACTGTTTCCAAATGTGCGGGAGACAGCCTAAAAGTTTCCATTCAGTAACTACCTACAGGAGCCTCCTGGGCACCCCCAAGTCCTCACCTGCCCCAGCAGCTGTGTGTTCTGCTTCCTATCCTGCTGCAAAAGCCACCTCCAGCCCTGGGAATATTCTCAGCCCTAGCATGGCTCTCCTTGTGCCACACCCCAGTCCCCAGTGGGAACATTCTCCCCTCCACATTCTCCAGCAGGGACATCCCCCCACATCCTTCAGACCCAGCCTTTTATTCTGCTTATCCTCCAGGGACACACTCTGGACTCTTCACACACACAAATACACCACACACATCACACAGTGCACTCACAGATGCTCACAAGAAGAAAATCGTGTTCTTAAATCCCCTGCCCACCTTGGCAGGCCACCTCTCCCCCAAAGCACACCTTCATCTACAGAGGAAGCAAGTCTCACGTTACCTCCCCCAACATCTGCATTAACCCCACCTTGCTATCTTCCTGATGACTCCTTTGGCTCCATGGAGTCCTAGCAGAAACTTTGCAGCAACCACTCAAGTCTCTAAGCCAGGCAGTTTCTTCCAATGTCACTTGATGAAATTCCTTCCACAAATATTTTTACATAGTTGCCCAGTGTTTTACGTATTCATGTCTGATGGGTCATTAAAAGCTGCTTCTGCATTCCCAGGGGAGAATGAGAATTCCAAGGGGAAAGAGGAGCCCAGGCATCCTGGCCAAAGATAGAAGAAAGGAACGGGCTTTAGGAAATAGACAGCTAAAAGGACCTGCTCAAGTGACTTGCGGGCAGATGCAGAGTATAGGCTCTAGCCCTGGGAGCCTCCCTGTCTCTGCTATCGCTGCTGTTCTTGTTGGCACCAGGGGATCATAGAGAGAGGGGGGACACACACAGGTCTCCTGACTTCTTTGCGGGGTTCTGATGCCTGGGCTGGCTGCCCACTTCCCTTCCCTCAGCCCTGGACCCACTGAAAATGGCAGGAAAGGACCAGAGGAGAAGAAAAAAGACAGGCACTCAAGGAGTATGGGACTCCAGATGGAGGAGGGACAGCCCATGGAACAGTAATGACAGATATGAGAAAGGGGGTCACATCTGATCTGGCCTGTCCCATTGGTTAGACTGAGCAGGGCTACACTGCTGTGACAGACATCCCAAATGTAGTACAGGCAGTCCCTGAGTTACAAACATTCGACCTTACACATGTAGGCTATTATAAGTAAATGTACATGTTCTAACATACATACAAAAGCTAATTTAAAAACAAATACAGAACCTATCTTGTTCATTACCCAAGGACTGCTTGTATCCAAATGAGACAGACGGATAGAACACTCCAAATTGTCAAGACGTCAGTTATCAACTTGATCCATAGATTCAATGGGAGCTCAACTGGAAGAATTTGGTGCATCAATGTGTGTGATTTTGTTTTCATTTTGTTGGATATAGTTGCCAAATTGGCTTCCAAAAAGTCCCTCCTCCAGATTGCTAATTCCCTTACACTTTCAACATGTATGATCAATTTTTTAAAAGTTTAATTGGACAGGCTCGGTGCCTGTGGCTCAAGCGGCTAAGGCTCCAGCCACATATACCTGAGCTGGAGGGTTCAAATTTAGCCTGGGCCCGCCAAACAACAATGACGGCTGCAACCAAAAATAATAGCCAGACATTGTGGTGGGTGTCTATAGTCCCAGCTACTTGGGAGGCAGAGACAGGAGAATCGCTTGAGCCCAGGACTTGAGGGTTGCTGTGAGCTGTGATGACACAGCACTCTACCCAGGGCAATAGCTTGAGGCTCTGTCTCAAAAAAAAAAAAAAAAGTTTAATTGGACAAGTGAAAATAGTTTCATTGAAATTTGCTCTTCTCAGCTCAGCGCCTGTGGCTCAAGTGGCTAAGGCACCAGCCACATACACCGAAGGTGGTGGGTTCGAATCCAGCCCGGGCGCCAAACAACAATGATGCCTGCAATCAAAAAATAGCCAGGCATTGTGGCGGGTACCTGGGGTCCCAGTTACTTGGGAGGCTGAGGCAGGAGACTCACTTGAGCCCAGGAGTTGGAGGTTGCTGTGAGCTGTGAAGCCACAGCCCAAGGGGACAGCTTGAGGCTCTGTCTCAAAAAAATAAAAAATAAAAAATAAATAAATAAATGTGCTCTTCTCTACTGACTGGACAGGTTGGGCATAAATGTAATGATTAGAAATTCTGAGAATTAGTTTGTTTGCCAATTTCTATTAGATCAATGCCTTTTTAAAATTTATCTCAGGGCCAGTGTATCCTAGCACTCTGGGAGGCCTAGGCAGGTGGATTGCTTGAGCTCACAAGTTGGAAACCAGCCTGAGCAAAAGCAAGACCCTATCTCTACTAAAAATAGAAAAATTGGGGAAAGAGGATCACTTGAGCCGGAGTTGGAGGTTGCTGTGAGCTGTGATTAGGGTGACCAGATTTTAACATCAGTAAGGTGGGACAACATGGGGGGGCGGGGCAGGGCAGGGCCTGACAACAATGCAAACTTTGCTAAGCAGTTCTCCATAATCACTTCTCAGCAATTATTTGTTATTATTACAGTTTAACATTATAAAATTAACAAAAATAATATAAAACTCATATTCTAGTGAAATAGCCACATGGCAGCTGAAAACCGCATATTCCCTTCTTGTTCTCCCACCCTTTCGTGCATTCTTTCCAAAAATCGGGACTTTTTTAAAACGCTGCGGGAGGCGGGACAAACTGTTCAAAAGCGGGAGGTCTGATCACCCTAGCTGTGATGCCACAGCACTCTACCCAAGGGTGATAGCTTGAGACTGTCTCAAAAAATAAAATAAAATTTATCTCTGGACAACTTTGTGATTACGAGAATTAGTTGTAATTCCAAAATGTATCTGAGACTTTCTCCCAGTTTGTTTCGTGACATTAATTTTTAAACACATTTTAAATCCGTGTGTAGTTCAGTTTTATCATTCTTTTTAGTATTTCCAAGTTTATCGTGATAGTTAGATCTTTAAAGCAGTCACTTTTTCCCCAGACCGTTTTTACTTTCTTCTTTAGATTTAAATGTTTGATCCATTTGGAATTTATTTTGGTGTTAAGGAGGGAGGGAGGGCGCGGACCTCTATTTTTCCAAATGGCCCGCCAGTTGTCCCAATGCCACTCGACTGAAAAACCTCCCCTGTGCGTTGAAGCGACCGCTCCACCAGCTCATTGGAAACTCGAGGGTCTGTCCTGCTCCGTGGACGAGGGATACCTGCACTCGCGGGCTTCCGTGTAACCGAACCGAGAGCTGACAGAGTGGAGGAGAACCCACAAACGCGTCCTCCCCTAGTCGCCCAGCTCAGCCCGAGGCCCAGTCTCCACGCCCAGGACGAAGCCCACACGCCCCCGCCCTAGCCAAAGTCGAAGTCGAACCCGCAGGCTGGAGTTGCCCCCAGGTCTCCCTGTCCACCCCCGCAAGCCCGCTGGAAGCCAGAGTCTCTCCCTCCCCCAGGTTCGCCGGGCCGAAGAAGGCGTGTTCCCCGCTAATATTTGCATAGAGGCGGGGCTTTCGGAGAGCCCGGACACCCAATCCCGTAGGAGCCCGGAACCTCCCCAGCTCACCCACCGACTCAAAAGGCGAATCCCAGCCAGAGGCTTTATTTGCATAGGGCGGTGGCTAGCGCGGAGCGGGCTCCACTTCCTACTTCCGCAGGCCTCCTCCAGCCTTCTTCCGTCTTCCGCCTGCTTCCGTTCCACCTTCGCGGGCTGTAGTGCCGATGCTCCCCAAACGGCGGCGAGCGCGGATCGGGTCCCCAGGCGGCAATGCCGCCTCCTCCGAGCGGCCCTCGACGCGCTTCCCTGGCATCACCATCTACTTGGTCGAGCGGCGTATGGGTCGCAGCCGCCGGGCTTTCCTCACACGCCTAGCACGCTCCAAAGGTTTCCGCGTCCTCGACGCCTGCAGGTGCGGGGCGGCCCGGCTGCGTGCTTCCGCGGGCAGCCCCGCTGCGGGCCTGGCCGGCATTCAGAGCCCAGAGCCGCAGGAAATGGCTTCGCGGGGATAATGGTTTGAGGCCAGCCGCTTTATTGCTTTATTCTCCTCTGGGTGGTGAATCCCCTTGGCAGCTGAAGATGTTGAGGCTGCAAGTAGGAATGACTCGTATCCAGCCAACGGGGACAGGGGCACCTGCAGTTTTGTACTCTAAGTTAGTTCTGGCACTTCGTGGTCGTGTGACCTTACCCTGAGCTTCAATTTTCTCTTCTGAAAAGGAAGCTAGGAATTAGGGCCAGGTGCGTTGTGCAGGATCTCAGTGAGAATCAAAACCGGAGGCTTTTAAAGAGCAATGTGTGGGGTCAGGGGTAGGGCTCTTCTGCTTTGGGTAAGTCCCACCTCACCATGTGGTCCACAGTGACTTCTCAGGAGTTTGTGATTTCCCCGTCCTTGGGCCTGAGTAAGTAACCAGACTGAGGCTATTCTGTTAGGGAGGAGACCAGGAGGTGCAAAAGGTCACAGGTATGGAAACACAGCCCGAAGTAGGAGAGCTGGGAGTTCCCATAGTTTTGAGGTTGAGAGAGCAAACAAACTAGGAGCCAGTGTCCCTCTGCAGTGGTTTTTTTATTTTTTGGAGGGGATGAGAGGGAAAATTCTCAGAAAACATGAGTGCACCAAGCCCTCTCAGGAGAGGAGTGAGGAAAGCACTACCTTGTACAACAACCCTGCAAAGCAGATAGGTTATTATCTCTGCTCTACAGAGAGGGAAGTCAAATATGGAGGTGTGACTTGCCCAAGAGCATGAAGTAGGCATGTGGCAGAGCTGGGGTTAAGACCCAAGCAGCAGGTTCCAGACCTGTGCTTAACGCTCAAAACTTTACACAAAGAACACCTGGCACCTCTGTGCAGAACTCCTTTAAGGTGGAGAGGGAGACAGACAACACAAGATTGGGCTGGGCTTGTGAGTATAGCTAGACTAGAGAACCACAGTTCCTAAGGACTGGAGTGGTAGAGGTGTTTGTCTACCAGGAAACGGGGCTGAGAAGACTTTGGAAGAGGTGACATTTGCTGGATGTATGGGCACTCACCAAGCAGAGAGAACAGCAAGAGCAAAGGCTTGGATGTATGGAACCAATCAGGATGAGTTCTGGGCCTTACTCTCCTTCCCACCCCTCTGCCCAGCTCTGAGGTGACGCACATTGTGATGGAGCAGACCTCAGCAGAGGAGGCTGTCTGCTGGCAGGAGCACAGGGCAACAGCTGCCCCCTCAGAATGCACGCCTGCAACTCTGCTGGACATAAGCTGGCTCACAGAGAGCCTGGCAGCTGGGCAGCCTGTACCCATGGAGTCCCGGCACCGCCTGGAGGTGAGCCTGGTGGAGTATTCCAGGAGGGCCACAGAGAAAGTAGTGCCTCAGTGCCCTTCACAGAAGGTGGGCAGTGAGGGCTCTGCCCAGACCATCAGTGGGCTGAAAAGCCAGTGCAGGGACCACAGCTGGGGCCCCTACTTTATACGCTTCTTCAGGCCTTTCTTCCTCACCAAGTAGTTGATACTGTGACCCCAAGTAGAATGACCTATGAGTGAGATTCATGGCCTATGACAAGGTGTGGGCCAGGACCCAGGCTACTTGCATTTGAATCCTGGCTCTGCCTCTGAACCATGAGGTATGGGGCAAGTTCCCTGGCCTCTGAAGCTTCAGTGTCTCCAGCCTCCTTAGTTGTGAGGATGTGGGGAGATGGAGCACATGCAGTTTGTGTAGTGGTAGAAGTGCCTCACCAGAGGGCTGGCAGATGTCATTGCTGCTACTCTGGCCTGTGGAGCCCTGTCCTCAGCCTGTCCTGCAGAGCAGTGCCTCCTGCCCCATGCCCAGAGGGCCTGAGTTGAATGTTCCAGGAGAGACAAGGCTTTGGGTATGACCTGGATCTCCTACCATCCCTGTGGCTTCATCATGGCTTGTACATTAACTATCCCCAGGTGGCAGAACCCAGGAAGGCGCCCCCAAGCTCAATATGGATGCCAGCCTATGCCTGCCAGCGCCCCACACCCCTCACACACCACAACATCAGCCTGTCGGTGAGCCCAGGACCAGTACTGGGGGTTGGGGACAAGGGCATAGATGGGTGGTAGCTGGTGGGTTGGAGCAAGGCGCCCTGCCAACCTTGTCCCTTACCAAGGACCACTCCCTGCAGGAGGCTCTGGAGACGCTGGCAGAGGCAGCAGGCTTTGAAGGTAGGGAGGGCCATAGCCTCACCTTCCTCAGGGCAGCCTCTGTGCTCAGGGCCCTTCCCAGACCTGTTGTAGCCCTGACCCAGCTGCGGGGGCTGCCTCACTTCGGAGAACATTCCTTCAGGGTTGTGCAGGTAGGCACTGGCCACACTGAGCAGGGTGAGTGGGTGGGGTGTGAAGGCTTTAAGGAACTTCGGGGGTGGGGTGGGGCTTGCACAGCCATAGGCACAGCTGCTGCTCCAAGGCCATCCTTTGCAGTCACACTCCTATGTAAATCACCCACCTGCCTCAGAGTAACTGAAAAACTCCACAAAGGGAGTCCCTGACAGGGCTGGGACTGGCATTATTGTCATTGTCATTAGTCCCAAACTGCCCATAACAGTAGAAGAGAGCACCCTGAGTATGAGCATCCCTCTTTGAGGACTTCACACATTGACTTGTCCTTTTGTATGCTTTCATCAAGAGAACACATAGTGAGGAAAGATGCTTTGAAATGAAGTCATTGTCACACAGATTTTGAAAAGCAAATGTTGATACCCTTTGGGACTTGTTATTAGTCTTCAAGATGGTCCACATTTCCTGGGATCTTAGCTCTCGGAACTTTAGGCCCCCAGGGGCTTTGACACTGGATCTCCTGCCCCCCAGCTATGTGGCAGCAGCTTTAGTCGCCTCCCTGGGCACAGTGTTCCATTTCCAAGTCCTGTTAGATCCTGACCCGACAAAGCTCTCTGTAGAGTGTTAGGAGGATTGTCCTAGTCCTTGGGCCCTCAGTCCAGAGCCTCACTCCCTGCTGCCCTTTCTCTCCAGGCCCTCAGGCTTAGATTTCTGCTTTGTGCCCTCCCCCAGGAGCTGCTGGAGCATGGAGTATGTGAGGAAGTGGAGAGAGTCCGGCACTCAGAGAGGTTCCAGACCATGAAGGTGTGCAGGGCAGGGCTGGGACCCCAGCGTGGGCCATGATAGCACAGTTCACACCATGTAGGGGAGGCCTGTGGGGGCAGCTGGCCCAGCCCAGGAGTCAGAGAAGTCTTGCCAAGGAAGTGGCAGTGAAGCTGATACCTGATATCCATAAGGCAGCCAAGTGGAGAAAGGCACGGAAGAAACTTGTTTTGAGCATGGGACTTTCTAGACCACTTGACTCCATCTGTTTTTCTTATTTGACTATTTTTGATGGAATATTCTCAAGTATATTACATGCTGTAGCATCATAAGCAGAGCACATTTAATATGACGTAACCTTTTCTTCAGTGCCCGTGAGTGTGTGGGGCTGCAGGTCCTTGCATGTTCATTTCTCAATGTCAGTCTGCCTGTGAGGATATGAGGGATGCACCTTTCCTCTGTTTCTACTCACTCCTAATCTTGTAGGCAAACACTGTCCCAAACTCTTTAGGATGAGTTCATTGTGCTTGCTCTGACACCCATCTGCCATGTGGTTTGGTAGCTGGAGGTTGTCGCAATGGTGGCCATTTGGATAAGTGTCAGTCATGTGTGGCTTGGAAGGGTGGGGCCGTTGGTGCTGTCGGAGGTCACAGAGAATGTTGTCAGGATTGACAGGACTTCAAAGATGGGAACTTCAGTGATGTGTGGATGGATGAGCTCAAATAGGCAAGAGAATGGCTGGCTCATGCCTTTAATTCCAGTGCTTTGGGAGGCCAAAGCAGGAGGGTCTCTTGAGCCTGGGAGTTTGCAGCTGCAGAAGCTCTGAGCACCACTGTACTCTACCCTGGGTGACAGAGTGAGACCTTGTCTCAAAAAAAAATTGGCAAAGAACAGGAAGAGGGCTCTAGGGGGACAGGGCCCAGATGAGCAGGACTACTATCCAGGGAGTGTGGGGACTAGATGACAACACCCTTGAAATTGAGGGGTCAGCTCCCACCCTAGAGAGGGTTTCCTGCAGAGGAGGGAGAAGTCCTGAGAGATGTGAGGGCAGTCTCCCCACTTTCTCTTGTCCTTCCTCCTTCTCACACCCAAAGTTCCAAGATATCCAGGCTGGCAGAAGATTATATTAGTAATTAGGTATTTGTTTTTATTAACAGCATAATTGAATTAACCTCATCTCATCATTTTTTAGCCAGGATTTTGTTGGTTAAAAGTGATAGTGACTCACCTCATACTCACAGCTCAGAGAATTGAGGAAAGGCTGGACCAGCAAAGCCCAGGCAGGGCAGGGCTTCAGCCAGTCTGCAGGAGAGGCTTAGAGATCTGAGTGTTGCCAGGCCACTCTTTCTTCCCTGCATGGTGGCTTCACCTTCTCTTGCCTCACACCAGCTTCCTCCCCCAGCTATAGAAAGGGCCCCTTTTGCACCAGTTATAGAAGCAGGCACAGCCAGGTCACTGCCTCTTGGTGGAAGGAAGCCCCTGGTGGGCCTCCACCACCAGGAGGCCTGACCTCAGTCTCAGTTCCCAAATTCCTGGGGAGGGACTAAGTGGCTGACCTAGGGCAAGTGACATGCTTGTGGCAGGGCTGTGCAGGGAGACGTGTGAGGGCCTAGCCAGTGCCTCCAGCTCTTTTGGTAAACCACCCTCTTGTTTGTTAACTCCTCATTACTTTTTGTGTTTGTTAAGAAGAAGAACCACAGAAATAAATTTTAGCTGCTATTAGTGGGAGCAGCATGATTTTTGCAGTGGCTTAAGAGCCCCTGTGCTGGTTTGTTAGGATGACTGCTTTGGTTATGTTGGCTTCACTGCATAGACCTGTGCAAGTTCTGGGGAGAGACCCTTTATAGAGGAGCAGGAAGCAGCTCACTGAGGTCTTTTGGCAAGGAGAGCCCCCAAGTTCAGCCCCTGACATGCTGCCCCTGTGCTGCTGCTGGGGTGTCCATGGGTTCACTTCCCAAGAGAGTGGGCAGAGCAGGCCAGGCTCCAGGTTTGAATCCTTGTCCTCAGGCAGGTTGCAAGTGGGGATGGTGCCTGCCAGGTGATGGTGATTCCTTGATGCTACCCTGTGGGGCATATGAGACACGTCCTCCCACAGCCAGTCCTCATCTCTGTCGATGTGGGAGCTCTGCCCCCAGAACTGTGCTACTTCCTCCCTACAGCTTTTCACCCAGATCTTTGGGGTTGGTGTGAGAACTGCTGACCGGTGGTACCAGGAAGGGTTGAGAACCCTGGATGACCTCCGAGAGCAGCCCCAGAGACTGACCCAGCAGCAGAAAGCAGGTGAACCCTCCAGAGAAGCTGGGCCCTGGGCTTCCCCCAAGCCACCTGGACCTGAAAGCTGAAGTGTCTGCACTGAAGCCCTCAGCACCGACACTCAGGCTATGCCCATTCCCTAGAGAGCAAGGTGTGGAGTGGTGTAAAGGGGTTCTGCTTCCCACCCAGGGTCTATGGTAGCCCTTTCTCTGTGAATGATGATGGTCACAGCAACTGCCATGATGTTCCTGGGATTTGTGTCATCACCTCCTGGTTAGATTTTAACCTGAGGCTGGGGACAGTCTGGGCCTCAGGCACACATGCCCGTTGTGATACTTGGGCAGGCCTGTGGGGGGACTGGCACCATGTAGTGGAAAGAGCGGCAAGTTTAGAGTTGTTAGGCCCAAGTTGGAGTCCTGTTTGCCATTTACCAGGTAGGTGATGATAGCCTGAGACGTAACTTCTGTGAGTCTGCTATATTTTCTGGAAAATGGGAAGAAATGGCAATGTGAAATGTTTAGCTCCTCTTGAGAGCTGGCAAGTGTTCAGCAGATACTCTATTCTCCCCCCAACTGCCTGCCTGGCCCCTCCAGCCATGCTGAAGGAGCCCCCACAGTGTAGCAAGTACGACCAGGTCACTGCCTCTTCATACACCCTCCCTGGGTCTGCTGCCTGGTATAGTTGACAGGAAGTGATACCTGCAGAGCTGGTTGCATTTGATCACTTCTCCCCATGATAAAAATAGAGAAGAATGGGGCAGCGCCTGTGGCTCAAAGGAGTAGGGCGCCAGCCGCATATGCCGGAGGTGGTGGGTTCAAACCCAGCCCTGGCCAAAAACTGCAAAAAAAAAAAAAAAAGATAGAGAAGAATGGCCAGTGGAGTCCACTAAGAGCTCACCTGTGCCAAATGCTGCTGTTCCTCACATTTTAACCTCTTTGGCTGGGTACCATGGTTCATGCTTATAATCCCAGGACTTTCTGAGGCCAAGGTGGAAGGATTGCTTGAGGCCAGGAGTTTGAGACAAGCCTGGGCAATGTAGCGAGACCCCCCATCTCTACAAAAAATAAGAAAAATTATCTGGGCCTGGCAGTACATGCCTGTAGTCCCAGCTACTCAGGAGGCTGAGACAGGAAAATCACTTGAGCCCTAGAAGTTTGATGTTTCTGCGAGCTCTGATTGTGCCATGGCACACTTGCTTGGGTGATAGAATCAGACCCTGTCTCAAAACAAAAAAAACTCTCTTCTTTACTGTGTGTGGAAGGTAGAATGATACCTTTTTGATAAGTGAAGAGATAAAAGTAGGCCAGAGTGAACTGATCCTACTTGGCAGAGCCATTTATTCATGTCTTTTTACCACCTCTTAGACCCATTTTATAGATGGGATAACTGAAGCACTAAAAAGGATAGTCTGTGTTGTGACTGTGTCAATATCAGTATCCTTATATAATAGAACCTCTGTAGTTGACCACCTCCTTAAGTTGACCTAATTTTCACAGACCGGACATGCACTACAGGTATGTATCAGCACAGTAGGCCTCGTTGCTTATGTTGACCAGTTTGTTACAGCCTCGTCAGGGGATCAGCTTACAGTGGTTCTAATGTATTTGGTCGTGCTGTAGTTTGGTGAGCTTCCTCTCTTGGAGGGAGCTGGGTAATAGGCAGTGGGATCTCTGTATGGTATTCTTTCAATTGTGTATGGATCTATAGTTATCTCAATAAAAGTTTAATATTTAAAAGGGAAGGGGGGTGAAGTCTGCTGCCTACCCTAGGCTCATCCTCCTCAGAGACCTCTCTTGGTCCTCCAGCCACAAGGCCTGAGGGTGACTGGCGAGGCAGAAGGGCTCAGTGTGGAGGCCAGGCTAGGTGAGTCAGGAGAGCTGGTGCTGCCCACAGGTGTCCAGTATTACCAGGACTTGAGCACCCCAGTCCTGCAGCCCGACGCAGAAGCCCTGCAGCAGCTGGTGGAGGCAGCTGTGGAGCAGGTCCTGTCTGGGGCCACTGTCACTCTGACTGGTGGCTTCCGAAGGTAAGGGGTCTTGCGGTAACTTGGCTTGGCTCCCAGTGAAGGGACCTGAATTGGGGATACTGAAGCAGCTTCCACTCACTGAAGGGATGTAGCCTGAGACTGGAGGGGAAAGGACCTGTCCTTGGGTTGGGTCCAGAAAGTCAAACTGGTCCCCTCAGGGGGAAGTTGCAGGGCCACGATGTGGACTTCCTTATTACCCATCCTGAGGAGGGCCAGGAAGCAGGGCTGCTGCCCAGGGTCATACGCTGTCTACAGGACCAGGTGAGGGCCTCACCATGCCTCTTCTTAGGGGTGACTGCTGGCTTGTGCCACAGCCACCCTGACCTCTTGCTGTCCCTGTAGCACATGGCAGTCCTGGCCATGCCTGCCTCTTCCCACAGGGCCTTGTCCTGTACCAGCAGTACCAGCATAGCCTCTATGGGGCTCCTGGCCATCACAGCCACACCATGGATGCCTTTGAGAGGAGTTTCTGCATTTTCCGCCTGCCACAACCCCCAGGAGCTTCTGTCAGGGAGGACCCTTCCTGTCCAGCATGGAAGGCTGTGAGAGTGGACTTGGTGGTAGCACCCATCAGCCAGTTCCCTTTTGCTCTGCTTGGCTGGACTGGCTCCAAGGTAGGGAGAAGGCTGCTGGGCCAACCAGTGCTGGGCGGGAGAGGGGGCTAGGTCAGCCCTCCTGAGGGGAGTCCCTTCCCTCTAGCTCTTCCAGAGGGAGCTGCGCCGCTTCAGCCGGAAGGAAAAAGGGCTGTGTTTGAACAGCCATGGGCTGTTTAACCCAGAGCAGGTATGTTGCTGAGGACTGATGGCAGGAAACAGCCCCCACAAACTGCTCCATGGCCCATAATCTGAAATGACCCCAGATCTCTACAGGCTAGGATCCACAGGACCCAAATCTTAGACTCCACACCTACATCCCGGCCCTCCCAAGCATATCCCAACTCGGGGCTGGCCCTGCCTCTCTCCCAGCCTTCCTCCAGGGAAGCAGCTCTGGCTGGGCTTCTGCACCCTGCTATGGCAGTGGCCCTGGCCCCGCTCCCAGACCAGTGAATCCTCTGCTCCTGTTGCAGAACACAGTTTTCCATGTGGCTTCAGAGGAAGACATCTTCAGACACCTGGGCCTCGAGTACCTTCCTCCAGAGCAGAGAAATGCCTGAGCCTGTGGCCTCCACTTCCACTCAGGAAAGGAGGGGAGGAGCTGCCCCTGACTTCGCCACTGAACATCTCCAGGCAGAAGATGCACCACTGCCTCCCTCTTCGTCTTCAGCCCTCCCGGGTGGAGGAACCCCACCTGTGGGGGCCTGGCTCTGCTAGAGTCAGTCTTGTCTGACCTGTCAGCCCCCATCAGCTGTGGGGCATCCATGAAGTGGGGGCCTTCATGCCCACCTCATCACTGTGGCACCCTGGGTCAGCCCCCAGCCTCCCCAGGGCTCAAGTTCCCGCCCTGGAAGGGTCTGACCAAGGCCTGCCATGTGGACCCATGACAGAGACTGGTCATGAATGCCACAATCTCTGCCTGGAACACAGCCTTGCATCTGTTAGTTGCAGTTACTGTGACTCCTGTAGGGCACCCGGCCTGGAGTGTCCATGCCCTGCGTTTGAGCCATGAAGTGGCAGCTATAGTTCTTGGTATGGGGTGAAGTCTGGGGAGGGAGTGTGAGGAGGAGAACTTGCAGTGCTCAGGCTTCACCTCTACAGCCCCCCCCCGCCCCCCGCCCCCAGCCAGGCTTTCTGCTTCTGCCTTTAAGGCCTGTTCTCAGCACAGTCTTTTAAAAATAGGTCACATCCTGCCACTGCTCCCTCAGAGCCCTCTCTCTGGTGGTTCCAAACTCAGATTCCTCGGTAGCTCCCAGGCCTCTGGTATTTCTTCCCACCCCTGCCTGTTCCCTCTCTCCAGCCTGTCTCGCTGCTTTCCTTGATGCTCCATAGGCCCCAAGTGGCCCAGTCCTTCCCTTTTCATAGAGGCAGAAGCACTGAGGTGGGCTGGACACACCTGTACCCTCTGAGTTCCTCACATCCCCCCAAGCACACTTTGACCTTGGGGGCTTTGTTTTTGCCACACTGTCCTTCTGGGGTGTGCTTTTCCCAGCCTTCATTCAAAAGTCCCTTTGTCGGGGGAGCAATTCCCAGACCACTTACCACATTAAAATATATTTTTTAAATGAATGTGTAGTAAAATGACTCTTTGGGAGTGCAGTTTGGTGAATTTTCACACATGTAGATTCATCCATATCTATCACCATCAAGGCACAACACATCCAACCCCAGAATCTGCCCTCACACTATCCCATTGTGATCGTATGCCTCCCTCCTCCGTGCCCACTCATCCGGTTTTCCTTTCTCTAGGATGTCATAAATGGAACCAAACTATGTGCAACTTTTTGACTGACATCTGTCCCTTGGCACAATGATACCTTTGAGATTCCTGTAGGCTGTTGTGTGTATAGCTGGTTTGTTCCTTTTGTTTATTTTTTGTGACAGGGTATATCCGTTGCCCCAGCTAGACGGCAGTGATGTCATCATAGTTTATAGCAACCTAAACTCCTGGGTGCAAGTGATTCTCCTGCCTCAGCCTCTCAAGTAACTGGGACTATAGGCATGTGCTGCCACACTCACCTAATTCGTTCTATTTTTTATTTATTTATTTTTACTGCTTTTTAGAATATTCAGGTGTACACATTTTATTTACATATTTTATTTTCATTCAAATTCAGTCAGAAGTTATACCAGATAGCATGCACTGTACCCAGTAGGTCTGAATTTCCTGATCTCCTCTTGCTCTCTGCCTTATGTCCCCAGCTTGATTTTCATTGAGTTCTACTTCCAAATGTGCACTTCAGTGTTAAAAGATTAGTTCACATTTGGTTGAAAATATGTATTTGTTTCTCCATTCTTGTAATGTTACACTTAGAAGGATGGTTTCCAGTTCCATCCAGGTTGTCACAAAAGATACTAGATCACTGTTTTCTTTGGCTGAGTAGTACTCTGTAGTATGTATATACTGCATTTTATTAATCCATTCATGTATTGGTGGGCACTTGGATTATTTCCACATCTTTGTGATTTTGAATTGTGCTCTGTAAACATTTAAGTGCAGGTGTCTGTTTTATAAAATGACCTTTTTCCTTTGGGTATATACCCAACAGTGGGATTACTGCATCAAATAGGAGGTATCCTTTAAGTTCTTTGAAGTCTTTCCATACAACTTTACATAGAGGTTGCGCTAGTTTGCAGTCACAGCCAATGGAGTAAAAGAGTTCCACCTCCACGCCAGCATCTGTTGTTCTGGGACTTTGACTCTTTTTTTTTTTAATTGAATGGTAACCGTGTACATTAATGCACTTTTGGGGTACAGTGTGGTGTTTTCACACACAATCCGAAACACTTCCATCAAACTGGTTCACATAGCCTTCATGTCATTTTCTTAGTTATTGTGTTAAAACGTTCATATTCTACTCATAGAAAGATTCATTTGTACCTTTGTAAGATAAACCACAGAAGTGAACCCTCCAATCCTCCTCCCTCCACCCATTCCTCCCTCCCCTCTCCCTCCCTCTTCCCTGTATTCTTAGGTTGTTATTAGGTTATAGCTTTCATATAGAAGGTTTAAATTAACTTCATAAAAGGAGATGTGTACATTGGATACTTTTTCTTCAATTCCTGTGACACTTTGCTAAGAAGAACATTTTCCAGCTCCATCCATGTGAACACGAAGGACGTAAAGTCTCCATCTTTATGGCTGCATAGTATTCCATGGTGTACATATACCACAGTTTGTTGATCCATTTGTGGATCGATGGGCACTTGGGCTTCTTCCATGACCTGGCAATTATGAATTGGGCTGCAATAAACAT